GCCGTAGGTTTAGCCACAGGCGGGAGTTTAGGGTCAGGGGTCACACAGAGAGGTGGGGCTGGTGGAGGAGCTGCAACATAGTTTTTAGTCCCAGCTGGTACTGAAGATACAGAGGGAAGATCTGTTCAGGTGGACAGTTACTGGTGCTGCCTGTAAAGTGACGATAGAGCTGATGTGTTTGTAAAGTGAGGATTTTATTAGAGTTATCAACAAGTAAAATAATGATATACTGTAAAGAGAATATGTTGGGTTTCTAATAAATACATGGACACTCATCTCTAAACCTCAGTCCATTATTTGTGAGCTAGTGAATCTGAAAAGAACAACATTGTAACATTGTAATGAGATTGTGAGGATAAAGGGCATAATAGGAATGCGGTGATCATGTCGCATTAAATCCTATTATACTAACCCTTTTTTGAGAGCAAAACAGGCTGAATTGGGAATTGATGGGTTTGGATATTCTGGCCCTGCCCTGCACTGCGGCAGAGGCAGAGAATCTGGTGTCTGTGTGTCTGAGTGAGAGTGAGAGAGAGAGGGAGAGGGAGCACACACTGCAGGACCCGACACCTCATCACACCTCATCACTAATCAAAGATTAGCGCATATCTGCACAGATGCGTGTGGATGGATCGCTGTGACATTCATAAGATCAGTTTTATTTTCAAGATGACAACATGGAAGATTTTAATCTGCCAGCACACAAACTGGGAGCATAAAGTGGCAGGTTAGCTCTGGACTGTGCTGTTGTGTTGTTGCGTCCTTCCACCCCGAGGACCCAGAGCATGATGATAAAATTACACAACAGCACTGAGGGCTGTCCACTCAGTGCTGCATCACCCTTTGTACATCGGCATCCAGATCTGCTAAAAAATGTATAGTCCAGCCTGAACACTGACTCATTCTACTAAGATGTCAGGTCCCAATTCTATTTTTTCTTTCTTTTTTGTTTTTGGTCGCACATACTTTTAAACTAGAATACAATCACTATAACTACAATGAAAAGGAGAACGCCTATTTGTGCATCTTCCATCATCAATCTAGATTTTAATGAATGGATTTAAATGTCACCAGGGAGATAATGATGTTCATTTTGCGATGTGGATGTGGATTGATATTCAGATTAGTTAAACATGTGTGTGAATCAGAATCAATCAACTGTGTTTTACAGCCTGTTAAATTAGCTTTGTGTGGGTAAAATGCCCTCTCTCTCTCCAGCTTTTGTCCATGGCAACACAGTAATCCTGGGTCAAAGTGACCCCATGTTTGTGTTGGAGACAAAGAACTTTTCTAAGGTGGCTGTGTATGGCAAAGTCTTAACAAAATGGCCGGGTTGATCCTAAAAGCTCACTGGACTGTGCCATGATGCCACTTTTCCTTAACCGAGCCCTCGAGGTACAAGCCACAGCTGAGTGGGCAATTGAACTCTCCGTGCCTGTCCAGATGTTGTCCTAATTTACTACGACTAGCAGCGTATGTGGCCCATTTACATGTCCTCACACCCAGTGTGTGTGCCTGCATGTGTACAATGTCAGCCACTACCTCAGGTGCTCCTGCATCCACCCCACTGACATCCCATGATTCATTTTGTTTTTAGCAGCAGTGTTTTTTTTTTTTTTTTTTTAGAAAAAAGCAGCAAGAGATTTGTTGTATGAGTTCCAAACTGGGGACTGCTCAGGTTTGTCGTCCTCACACCAGTTTCTTAATGTTTCAGTGCATTTGGATGAGAATAGGTTGAAAACACATCTTGGATGATCGGTTACTGTGTTACCTGTAAAAGTTTAGGTGTTCAGCACGACACTATATGAGTAAAAAGAACATGAGCAAAACGTTTGCCTTACCACATAATTTGGTGTCATACTGAAGCACAGCTTCTCCCAGAAGTCTAAATTTATTTGCAATAATGGTGCCCTTTTCTGTTTATATTTATATTACCATAAAATAAATATCTTTTGATTGTATTACCATATAATAAATCTCTTTTGGTGTTTTTGCCAAAAGTAATTTCCAACAAAACCCACTGTACATTACCTGCTCAGCACCAAACAGCAGATGGACACAGTTAACTACTAGCTGGTCAACACAGTGGAGCATTTAGTAGATAAAGATTCAGATGTTTCACTCAGGAGTTTGTGGAGAGCAAAACAGAGATAAAAGAAAGTGGATTCAAATCGGGTGGACAAAAAAACAACTCCAACCGAAAGCTAATGCTGCTCCATATGTGCTGGATGTGTAAATAAGAAACTGGTTGACGATATGTTTGCCCTTTTTAAAATATTACCTTAGTTCTCTTCCACTGCCTACTCTGCTTTGCAGACAGCACTTGTAGCACTGGAAGAAGAGGCAAGGTGAGGGCTCATGGGCTGGTTGGCCTGGTGGCACCTCTGCCACATTCTGTGGCATCAGGCCAGTTTCAGACACCTCTGCAGCTGGCAGCGACCAGATGTGGTGTGTTTGAAGACAGATGAGAGAAGCAGCTTTGTGCATCTTCAGAATAGACAGAGATTTTGAAGATTTCCAACAATCTGCAAGGATGAATGTGTGCCAAGTGCTTGCTATCTATCTATCTATCTATCTATCTATCTATCTATCTATCTATCTATCTATCTATCTTTTTACTACCTTCAAAATTAATCAAAATTAACATGCCACTTGGTTTATTGTTCCATTAAGCAGAGTCTGTGATAATACTTCACTGATCATTAGTGACTAAGATCTTAGTGCAGGGTTGAAGTAATAGAAAATGATAGTAATCCCCCATCCTTCATGATCTAAATTTGCTCTATCCTTATTGGAACATGCTCTGCATGCCTGCAGTGACACAGAGCCTGTTAAAGGAATTATTAGCACTGATAGAGCGGAAAAGATAAGCACCTCACTTCCTACAGAGATGATTGAAGTGAGACATTACTGGAGACATCTGTTCACTTTCATTATAACACTTTCACAAGTATTTGATCGGAAAAATTAAAGCACTAGATGGGCATTTTTTAAACATGTGTAAAGCTTTTTGAAGGCCATGTGATTTTAATGAAAGTATAAATCAATATCAGCATATCATAATGATGTGTATAAAACCTGAAGAGAGAGAGAGAACTGGAGGACAGTCAAAGCCGTGTTACTGTAAGTGGCATCTCAATAGCCAAATGCAAAATGCTGTGTTTACAGCATTAAATAATACAGACACTACTCTGAATTTCTAAAGTTGGTGTACTTGAAGAGATATTTTGTGTATAAATATATTTTGAAAAGACTTGATATGTACCAGAGAAGCTCAAAAGTCTTTGAGCTAGAGTCCAAGTCAAATTTCAAGTCACTCATGGTTGTATCACCTGCTGCGTTCAATCCGGGCTGCTTATAACACTGCATAGTTATAAGGAATTCTGTAACTGTAACCTGTTTTTCACTAACAGAGCACAAACATGTAATGTGCAATGCAATTAATGACAGCTTATTAACTACTCTAAGTCAACACATTCTCAAACCCAGTGTAATGTTAACTAATGTTAAATAAAACTGTAACGTTACATGATCAACAATTACCCTGTAACCTGTTTGCAGCCAGTGTTAATAATTAACGTGATGGCAGCCAGCAGGACGTAAATGATTACATTAATCGACCTCCACAAATTTGGCAAGTAAACAAACACTCATCCATCTTTTCATGACGAACAACAGTCGGGAGTTAACCTCCCGTAGGTCGTAGCTAAAGCAAGAAGCAAGCTAACGTTAGATAGCCAATGCTGAGCTAAACAAGTGTACTCACCACAGGTTACTAACCTATTTTGCGTTCAGCGCTTCTTTGTTTGGGCCTTTTGTATTAAGTTTTAAAGCCAAAGTTTATGATGAATGGCACAGCAGTTGATCGTGTTTGTTGTCCTCTCTCATGTGTGGCCGTGTGCAGCAGATAGGCTACTATGTGTTACGTAGGTAAAGCAAGGGCGAGAATAACAGCAAGCTCATCAGACATTTCCTAAAAAAAAAACATTGTTCACGAGTCCTGCACCTCGAGTCTCAAGTTGAGTCTGAAGTCACTGTGTGTGCGACTTAAGTCGGACTAAAGTCAGAGTCTTAAACTCGAGTCTCTCTGATATGTACAGATATAAACAAATAGATAATTGACCCTTCGCTAAGCCACGCCCGGATACGCAGCTGGCCAATCACAGCGCAGTATAGGACTCGCTCCAACTGAGGTCCGACACTTTTATGGCTGCGCTCCACTGACTTTAATGCAAAAGGAGTCGTTTACTAGCTTTTTTTGCTGTATTTTGCTAAGATTTGGTGAAACACTGTTCCTGGGCCACTTGTAATATTTACATTCGCTAACCAGAGAGGTTGAAAGGAGAAGTATCATTTATTCTCTTTCCAAACCCTAAAATAAATCCAGAAAATGTAGGCTGTGGATTGTTTCTAATGTAATGTTAGTTAGCTAAAGCCAGAGGGCTCTGGCTAACGCTAGCTATATAAACCTACTGCTTTTGCATTTTAATGATTGTAATAGTGAATGGAGACCTACCCAGGAACAGTGTTGATCCTTAATATCGTTGTCTTTCGTCTCAATCGTCAGGGGATGCGGTGGTTCACTTTCACTGTGTGACTGGTAGGTTTAGCTTCTATCTTTAATTTTTTTCACGTCAGTTTGACAGCCTGAATACAACCTTCAAATGTGTAATGCAACTGCAGAACTTTCTGCTTCTTTCTGAGATCAATTTTTCCAACAAATTTGACAATATTTCTTCGGGGTGTGCAGTAATAGACAGTGGCAGTGCCATGATAAAAGTCTGACAGGTCCATCAGTTTGTTGTACTGTTAGTAACAGTAACTAAGGGGGGCATGGCTTAGCGAAGGGTCAATTAATCTCACCACCAGTAAATATTTGACTACTTATTCTGATCATTTATGATAACACTGTGAACCTGGGTATATATCAAAGAAACGTTTTTTCAGTAACATACGGTTAAAGATTTAACTTTTGCAGTAAATGACAAGAGAATGACAAGTCAAGGGTGCCGAACAGGGCAAGCTTTATTTAACACAGCAAAAAACAAAAGAAAAAAAGTCAAGTTTTCAAAATAGATTTTAAACAAATGTACATGTCAATCAAAAAAGGCAAAAAAAAAAGCTGCCAAATAAATATTCACATCAACAACAATATTTTCATGTGACATCCTTGAAGATGTCTTACAATGATTATAAAACAAGAGACAGTATGTACAATCATACAACTTCAATAGGACATGCGTAGGAGTTTGACTGCACCATTGTACCACACACTGACTACAACACAAAGGCTGCATATTAACTGACAAGGTCTGTGAGCCACCCATCTATCTCATCTTCAGAGGGCCTGGAATCAGCTCCCCAACCCCAAAAATTATATTTTATATATATCTCAACAAATTATTTTTTGAACAAGCCTTGCAATAAATGCATACTGAAGCTGTAATAATGGATGTGAGGATGTCTGCTTGTGAGCCAACCCTCTCTGTCCACACAACCAACCCAAGAGCCAGTTTCTGGTTCCTACACTGACTTGTTGCTAGGCAATGCCGAGGAATTTGGTGTACGACCATGAACTGGAAGCCTTTGTGCAAATCACCACTTAAAGTTCCTCCGACTATCGGGGGCAGCTCACAGCTCCATAAAGACGCTACAACCATCTCAGTGAGATATTTCTAAAACAACAGCGGGACTCACATCATGCTTTAAATACCAAAAAACAGCAGCAAAAAAAAACAAAAAAACCCCAGAAAAAACAAAATCACAGCAATCATAAAAACAAAATATGAAAAATAGCTTTCTTTGGACAGGGCCAGCCTGTGCTTTTTCATTACTTGTTCTGCTTAGTTCCACATAATTTCCTTTTTTCCACACACTAGCCCTTTTTACAAGATGACTGTTAGACTTTTGAATGTTTCCAATTTTAAAAACATACACTGCACTGCACTCCCTCGAGCAGTTAATTTAAGTCCTACTGCCTCAATACTTTTTATTATGATTTGGTAAAACATATTCTAGCATCTCCAACTCAGAGAGTGTTGTTTGCTCTTTTTCCACATACTCTATTTCATAGGGGTGATTGTTCTATATACCAGTGGCAACTTACATGGAGGAGGAGGGGCAAACACAGATAAGCAGCCTCTTTGTACAGCAGAGATGGTTCCAGTCTATAACGTGGATGTCCATGGAGCGTTATAGCATGACAGTAATCACAAAGCTGCATCTTTATTGCCATACAGGTTACCTTGCATCACAAGCACTTAAATCCTTATTGCTTTATGGTTTGAAGCACAGAGATCAATGCTGCACAGAAATATAACCATGAAGCCAAAGATTTAAGCTCAGAAAAGGGTCCAATTTTTGCTCCGTAGTCACTGTAACCTACAGTAAGTGCTGCTTATTGGAGGTCACTAGATCAACATGAGTGTACGACAAAAAAAACTAGCGTCATCTTGGAAGAGTAGAGTCAAGTTGGGAGTGCTACATTGGATTGTTGCAAACGAGATATATCCACAGGCATATTACAGTAGTCAAAATATTCTCAATAACTTTTGGGAACATGATATGAAAGGCATTTTTCAAAACTGCATACCATTAGAGAATTGTTGAAAAGCTCTCAACAACGCAATGCTACAAATCTTCTCTAATCTACAAACCACATTTTCCAAATCGCAGTCAGCCTGACTTAGGTAGACGTGATCCTATGCTTTTAAATATACCTCCTAACACTTTGACTGGCATCAAAAACCAGCCACAGCTTCATAAATAACACTCGACAGCTCAGCATTGAACTATTTGTGTTTATGCTCCTGGTCACAACGAATGCGTCTTTTGTCATCTATTAAAATGTGTCTGTCCCAACACAATATAGTATTTTAAAATAGACTCCAGCTGTGACAGCAGAGACACCAGAAGAACTAAAGACTAAACTTCCATTTATTTTTGTGTGTCCTCATTTCATTTTGTACCACAGCGTTTTCAGCCACCTCCACTTAGTCCACTGAAAGCCTGCGGAGCAGTGCTGTCCAGAGCTACACAACCATGCACTAAGAATCCATGCAGGTTGAAATAGTCTAGACTGCTGTCTGCACGGCAGCCTGTGCTCAGAGCTCTTATGCCTGCTCTTATCACCACTGAGACCACGAGAACCGCTCTCTATGTAATAGCTCTCACTGTGGTTTGTCCCACTACTCCCTCTACAACTCTGTGCTTTCACAGGCCTAAATGGGGATACCAGTGAGAAGCTATTTCACAGCTCACACACCTTACTAAGAGGGATGTACAGGATTTTGCTAATTCCTGACAGTTTCATGCTAGATATATTTTTGTACTTAGAAAAATATCCATTGAATTGTCTGAGAGGCATTTACATCACAAGATTAAACGTCACACGTTGCACATTTCCAATTTGGACAAAATCAACATGTGCCTAGAGATAGTAAAATCATACAGATGTAACACCGTTCTAGTTGCATACTGTTTACAGGTGAAGAAATGATAGCTCGATGATAAAACCTTGACTGATATTGTTTGTTCGAAAGCAAGATAAACAGTAGTGGAAAAAGATGTGCGCTAAAAGGTTCAGGAGCAAGTGGGCAGCGAGGTGTCCACCTCTTCTGAGGGGCGTTTGGTTTCTGGGGGGGTGAGGGAAGGATTCAGCAGGAAGCCCTGATAAAACCATCGTGCCCACCCCCCCTCCCCCGAGACCAAAGAGGCAGGGGCTTGGGGTCGCATGTGATGACTGTAACCCAAGAGGTCTCCACTCACATGACCGAGCAGCTCTTGGCCTTCTCCTTCTTGAAGGTGGAGGAGAGCAAATCCGACTTGCTAGGCAGGTGGAGAAGTCTTTTGGAGAGGCGGCGGGTGGGGCTAGACTTCGGGAGAGGCTGCAGCTTGTTGATGCAGGCCATTGCTGCGGTGCGGAACACACTGTGAATGCTTTTCTCAGAGGTGAAAGCTGAGCACTCCAGGTAAGCCTCTGCACCCAGCTGCTTGGCCATGGCAGAACCCTGCAATAAATGTGTGAGTGATGAAGGGCACTGTTCATACCATCCTTTAATACATATTTGTATTTCTTATTGCACATGGGGCGCCATGTAGTGTGGAGTTCAGGAAGAGAGGCCCCTGCCAGCTCATAAACTGGCTGTGAAATTAAAAATGAAGATGGTGACTGAATTCCCTATGCTATTCTTTGTCATTATACAAAATATAAAATAGGGTTTATTGATATTTATAGTTGATCAGCTACTATTGTGATCATGATGCAATCTTATGATCCACAAGTTTTCAAGCAATAATGAGTCAGATTCCCAAAATGACTTCTGAAATACTTGATAAATAACCGACCATAAATAAATAACTGCTCCAGCTGTTAAAACAGAACCTAACAGACAGAGATTTATATATATATATATATATATATATATATATATATATATATATATATATATATATATATATATATATATATATATATATATATATATATATATATATATATATATATATATATATATATATATATATTTACTTATTTTGTCACACCTGCTCATAGGTGATGGGTGTCTGTTTCTGATTGGACAGCTCCATCAGTGTGCAGACATCTGTGCGCAGGTCGATCTTACATCCGATGAGCAAGATACGCGTGCTCGGACAGAAGTCCAGGATCTCAGTTTTCCACTGTGGACACAAAAAGACAAGGATCAGTTCAGTGGGTCCAAGTAAATAATAACCTGATTTATTGCACAGTCCTACGATATACTTTCACAAAAACAAGCTATAGTAGAAGGAATTGCTGATATTAAGTGTGTGACAATGAGGTACAAAAGAGAAAAATAAAAAAGAGCAGAGTACTGAAGCCATTACCTTCTTCAGACTGCTGTCGACAGTGTCTGGGCGGCTGATGTCAAAACACAGCAAAACTGCATCAGAGTCACTGTAGCACAGGGGCCTCACATTATCATAGTATGGAGAACCTTAGAAGGCAGAAAAGAGAGAATCATTAATGTGGGTAAAAGACAAGAAGACAAACTTTGAAAACGAATGCAGGCGTCTCTGATTTCAAGTAGCTCCATGTGGCATCAATGACTTCAATGCAGCCCCTTGTGACTACAGGAACTCGAAGCAGAATAAGTGCAGCGCTGAATATTGCTGATTTGTGATACTAAAGTAACAGAGGAATCTTACACAGCCACCATTTTGAAGTATTGGCAAAGGACCTCAGTGTTTTCCTCATCTTCATGGTGAAATGGTTACACACTTGTAGTTTCTATACTTTGTAGTTCTCATAGTTTCCCTGTACGTTTTTCTTTTGTTTTGTTGTTGAATGTTTGATATTTAAAGGTTCTAGGCAACATTTTCACTGTAAAATGTTGAATAGTTCATGATTTGAGCCAATGATTTATTATTTTTAAGTGGATATTGTTTCAGGAATTGACTGCTGTTGCAACAGGCAGTTGGTCATGGCAAAAAAGGGTGATGGAGGAGCATAGTTGCAGAGGCAGAGTGAGAGAGTGCAGCTGCAGGGATTATGTGCAATCGGCATCACATCTCCTGCTGAGCTTCACTTTGCTGTCCCTGAAACTGCTCTTTTCCCTGCTCCTATATCCTCTGCTGGCATTTCAGAGGGAGAGAAGATGACAATCGAGCCCTAAATCCTCATTGATCTTCTCTTGCAGTAGATTACGCAAGTGGAACGGTGGGGCTCGGGGTGGGCAGACGCTCCCACTCATGCTCAGAATCCTTAAGTAAACTACCCACCCCCCCAAAAAATCCTCTGCTCGGCGCGCACTATCTCCAGTCCCTCTGTTACCACAGCAACAGCCTTGGAATCCACCATCTACATCAGCCATTCCTCCTACCTCCCCATAAAGGCTTGCCTTAACTGCCAATCAATCATTTTACACCGCAAACTGCTCACCCACCTCCTGTTGGGGGCATTCCTCTGCTCTGCAACAGAGTTGGGGACCACAGACGTACATCCATTACACACAAAGACACATTCACACATGGCAACACCACACCTAATGGGGCACACAGACTCACTATTTAAATTTGGCAGCAGCCAGAGGTGAACCCAATCTGTGATCAGATGAAACAGAAGAAGAGCAGCTCAATGGAATTAACATGTTTACTTTGGGCTCCGTGTGAATCCCAAAAGCGGATTCAGTGTTCCCATTAAAGCTATCACTCACTAGATATTACACAAACATCCTGATTGATTTACAGCATAGGAAACAATGCAGCAGAAGAAAACACATGAAAAAGCACCCACAACATGGATGTGTGCATATAGATCCATTTCATGAATACTTGATGATTTTCCACATTATCAAAGGGTAAAACTGAATTTGCCAGCTGCCGGGTGCTGTGAGTGGAATAATGACAAGCTGTGATGAAATTCCTCAGGGCTCGGTGTCCTGGAGAAAGTAAACATCTCTGCAAAGGAACAAAGGGACACGCTTGTTGTATTATAACTCTGTTGCTACACCTTTGGAAAGAATGACTTTGTTCTACTCTTAAATGTAAAATTGACTGAAACATCCTGATTAAATTAAGTAATTTACCACAACTATATTTTTACAAATAGGACAGACATCCTTAAGAATGCAAATTACATTGTTGCCCTCACACCATTTACACCTAGGGCTGGAGCTTAAAACCCACGCTCATCTGTGAGACAACTTTGCATTTGCTGACTGTGAAAATTGACACACATTAAAATCAGAACAATTAGCACCACAGACATGATAAGTCTCTCTCTCTCTCTTTCTGTGTGTGTGGCAACTCTGAGGAATCTCATGGGAGAGCCAGAGAAGGGCGCTCTATAAATCTTCTCAATCTTCCACAAGGGGTTATCACACAGCCGGGAAACTGGGTGTGATTCTACATTAAATGGCCACTGATCTAAATGCAGCAATCAATGGAAAGCTGCACAGGGGGTCCAAGAGCCTTTGCAATTAAAGCTGACAAATTAGTTACTATGCCAAGAGGGATGGGAAATGGTGGGGACGTCTTGGATGTTGGATTTTTTTTATTTTGGGCATACGATGCATGATTCAGCAGGTGTATTTTTCCTATCTTCAAAAGGAATAAAACTTTGTTTTTTTTCTACATGAATGTGTAAATATTAGTTTTTGAAGCTCTACAGCATGCTGTTTGGGTACACTAGCAGCCTTGGCATCATTCTCCCGACACTCCAGGACCCAGTTTCTAATCCTGGAAGAAATAGCTGTTTCTATTGTGGCAAGAAAAAGCCAGGAGGAAGAGAGGAGGGAAAGCAGGAGTGTAGCCCACTGAGACAGATCACAAAGAGCCCTCCTATGCCATTAATCCGTCACCCCCTGCAGTCTGATATCACAGAGTACCAGTCTCTGTCTCTTCCCCTCTCTTCCCTACTCCTCTCCATTGCAACAACCCAAAGAATGGCCTGGATAGACAGATCAATGGACAAGCAGAGCCTAAGCAAATGTTCCCTTTCTTCCATTTTCTTAACAGCATGCCTCTACGACAGATGGAGAGTTTCTGAGGCATGAAACGTGGAGAGTGAGGCTGACTAACTGGGGAATGGAAGGAAAAGAAAAGAGCATAACTAAATTCCTGCGGCTGAGCTCTACTCCATCCGTCTTGATGGTACGGTGCCCAGAGCTAAGTGTTGAGGTAGAAATTGGGCCAGAGCAGAAGTAGGTTTCGCAGGCCGAGACGACGGGCCTTGTGTTGGAGCGTACAGGTGGGGGAGGGGAGGATCTGCTTTTTCCATTTGTGCACGAGTGAGAGTGCAATTTTGTGCATGTGTGCTAAATCAACTGAGGGACATAGCCCGTCTTCTTCATTAGCACACTCCTCGCCTACCACGAGAATACAGGGGTCAGACAGATTAATGATCCAGTGATGGGATGACTCACAGATTTGGGGATGAGAGTAGCCCTGCCCCTCCACCCACACTCGGCCGGCTGGGAGATGTGGTGCAACTGCTGCTGTGGCTGAGAATGACGGACTTCACAGCCAGGCCCCAAAAAAACACTACATTGCGTCAGACAGTTGTTCCCTGGTTTCACATGCCAGAGCCAGTCAGCATCACCACAGAAGCCCCCTGCAGGGAGGGAGAGGGAGGTTCTTTGTTCCTGAGCATCGCCGCGTCTGAACTGTTAACAAGCTTTACTTTGTAACTTGACACTGTCAAAGCTGATCACACTCTGTATTTTGAAGTTGAGCGAGAGAACAGATTGTTTAAAATTTTTTAACTAAAACCTTGACGTGCACTGAATTAAAAGGGTGTTCTTCTAGTAATTGTTTGCAAAAGTCGTAGGCAGAGCCTCAGAGGTAAAAATCTACCATTGTTAGAACAGTTAAAAGGTTTATGCTAATACCAATTAATTCACGTAGCCTGTTGCATGAAATTCATCTGCCTAAACTAGTACTTATTCTATTCAAAAACTAAACTAGTGTATTATTTGCATCCCTAACTCAGACTGAACACTAAAAATAACTAAAAGCGTAGTGGCCATTAGAAATGAGCCATTAACTAATTGTGATTATTGTCTATTAACAATGTCTCTCTTTTACAGTTATACAGATTGTTTCATCAGCTTAAATTGATACAGGGTTAATAACAAATCAATCTCATTCATTAATCAGACAGCAAATGATTATATATACAGTACCTTCTTATACTCAAACGCTTTTGACCTGAAATAAATTACTCACTAACACCATAATGAGATTCATTATTCACTATACATGAGTTACAGCCACTGGACGGTGTTCACCTTCCCCTCGTTCTCTCTCCCCCTGCATGTCTGATCGGAGCAGGCTGATTAAAACTGGTGGATTGATTTTGGTCTGTAAATCCATGGCTGGGCTGGGAGAAGGATCTGCCTGCCATGGGGAGGCCGGTGATGAGGTCAGTCCAATCAATGAAGGCGAGTCGGGATAATGAGGAGACCCTCTCAGTGTGGTGGCGCTGCAGCGGCACAACTTTGTGCAATTAGAGCAAATAACAGTAAGAAGAGGAAACTGCACGGTATGACCAGAAAATAGCCCCTGTCATCCATCACCAGGAGCCTGACATGACATACATGAGAGTCATCTATCACAAATGAAGGGAAGGAGGGGGTGCACATTCATTTAAGTGTTTAAATCAAAAAGCCTGTTTGTTGTTTGCTTGTGCCTGGATAACGGGGAGGCAACAAAAGTCAACAGAGGGAAGGAAAGATTTGAAACATTTAAAGATTGGCGGGACAAAAGTGTAAATGGAAACAGAAAACTGCATATACAAGCGAAAGAAAGAAAGAATGTTAAACTCTGTGGGTCAGTCAGAAGGGGTGGCCCAGTGGTCCTATTCAGAGTCTTAATCCTCTGTATCATGCTGTTCTAGTGGGTCACCCAGAGCAGCATATGGAGGCAAATGCAGGTCACCAGAGTTTTTGAGCTGCCTCCTGGCTGTCTGCTCCAGAAAACCTTCCTGCTCAACAGGATGTCTCTCTGTGTGCCCATCATCCCCCGGCACCAGGCCCACTCCTGCTGGCCAGACCAAAGGTCCACAGTCTGGGATTAAAAAGCAGGATTTGGTCTGGGGAGGGAATTACACTTACTTTTCCCCTGTTGCTGCTTTGTTATAACGGGGGAAAAATTGCGAGAACTCGGTAAATACTGCATCATCTCACACAACTGGGTCTGTTACATAAAGGATTTGTTGTACACAGACACACGCACGCGCGCACACACATACACGCCAACTTGCTTATGGTGACCTAGTGAGGCTCCAGATACATCCAGTGTGGAGGGAGAGGGATGCTGCGCAGTGAGCATGATGAGAATCAAACAGGTGCTCCAGACCCGTGTTCACAGTATCCAGGTCAACACTCTAAACAGCAGATCCCCGGGGAGATCCACCCTGACACATTGACCCTCTTTTTCACGCTTAGTGTAAATGAACATATGATGCACAAAGTCAGCAATAACAACAAGTCAAGCGGAATAATCACTGTCTTTCTGCCTACTTTACAGTGAAACACATTAGGTAGAGAAACGCACTTGCAGCTCTGTCAATCCTTTATCCCCCCCCCCCCCCCCCCCCATGCACAACTGTGATATAAGAGGACATTTAATCAGCTGCAATTTAGAGATGTGAAAGGTGACTCTGCCGTTCAACAAGTGCACATTTTATGTGCTCTTACAGCAACAAAACAAAGAGGCCTGCACATAAGCCTTTAAGTAATTACCATAAACACCACTTTCATGCTGCCTTTATTCCAAGGCAGACAGGGTCATGGCAATTACATTTCTTGCACCCAAAAGAGGAATATCTAGGAGGAAAGTGCAGCTCGCCTTTCAGCTGAGATCATTACATTCACAGCGCATTGCCTATTATATTCTAGTCTCCTTCAGCGCTGCAGGCAGAATGGCAGGCCATGATAGGCCAGACAAGACAGGGGAATGGTGATGAGTTACCTGAAGTGTCCCACAGACTGAGCTCCACTCGCTGCTCCTCCAGCTCCAGACAGGCTGTGTAGTTTTCAAATACCGTCGGCACGTAGGTCTGGGGAGCAATTAGCAACACGGTGCCATTAGTGGGGAGGTGACAGTCAGTCAGACACAGGTAATGGAATTTATCTAGCTAATTAGTGCAACACAAAAACACGCACTGAGGGGTCAATCAAAAACTATACGCCTGATACAATTCCTCAGATTGAAGGATCAATCACGTGAATCAGTGCAGCTGCTGCAGGAAATAATCAGCACAGGCCAATATAATATGAAGCAACCATAAATGCTAGGGAATACCTTTCAACTGGTCATGCTATAAAAAGCTAATGCATTTAAAAGTATTAACGGTACATGCATACAGAATAAACCAAGAGGACAAAATTGTATGAAAATACGCATTAAAACTGCTGCAACAGACGCACCGATTTTTTTTGTTGCCACACTCAGTCATCTTAAGAGAATTTTGCACTGGTCATCAACAAAATACAGAACAGTTTTACGTGCATACACTTTAACTTCATTTTTCACAAACATTAGAGCATACCTCTGGATAACAATCCTTCGCCAGGACTTGCAACATCGCCGTTTTTCCGCATTGAACGTCTCCCACAAGAACCAGTTTACATCTCACCACCAGCGGCTGTGTATTTCTCCTTTCCTTCATGATGCTGGTCCAGTGTTTATTTTTTATTTTTTGCAGAAAAACTAAAACAAGCAGCAGAACAGTCCAGATAGCGTCCGAGTGTGACCGCGCGCCCTGATGTCTGGCTCGTCGGAAGATGCTCGCAGTTGATCTGATTGAATTTGCCACTGCGGCTCTTTATACGGGCGAGCAGCAGCCAATAGGAACTCGCCATTCCACAGGCTTTCCAACGTGTCTTCTCTGCACTCAGTGATGTTCTCAGAAAGCAAAAACAAGTTACTTCGTCAAGGATGATAGAACAATTGCGCATTAGATTGTGGGAGGAGTCTAATAGTTCTGTACACATTTATGTTTCTCTGCAAACTAAGAAAATCCATTACTGTGAACAAGTAATTTCAGCTCCTTCTCCAATAATTTGATGAAAATCTGTTTTTCAGACTTTAGGGCTTGAAATACAGTAGCCAGCAGTCAGTCACTGCAGACTTCTGTTTTGTCACCTGCGGGTCCTGTCACTTGGCCTGCTGGTAATTGATTGATTAGATTGACTTGACTCACAGGATCAATAGCATACCACTGGCTGAGGACAATGGGACTGATAGACCAATCCACAGTGGACTAATTAGTTACCTTTAATCTGCACTACAGAGTCAAGTCAGTTTTATCTAAGCAACTCGGCTTCTTCTTTTTGAAAATGTTGCAAATTAGCCCTGAACTTCTTTTTTTCTTTGTGTGATTGTGTATTTCACAATGATGTTTGATTTCTCACAAGTTGTCGCTTTCTTCTAAAATCCAACATTTCTTACTGGTTACAGTTACTCTGACAGGAGAGATTTAAAGAATGTTTCACTGAATGTCTGCAGTATAATACCAGCAAGTCGACATGTGGGATGGTGTGAGGCCCCCTGATAGGTGACCAGCTATCCAGTGTCCACAGGGTCAAGTCAGAGGTCTTCCCTCTCACTTATGCTGCTCAAAGCCCTGGAGACACACTGACTTTCACACCCTGAAGGTTATTACTCTATGGAAACAGCATCTCATTGTTAGGAAAAATGAGAATTAAAGATAAAAGTCAATTAACTGCCTTCCCCCCATTGTCTGGCAGCCAAGTTTGGCTAATTTACTTACTGTTGCCAATCAGAACCCTTGCCATTTTTGCCCCAGTGGGTCAAAGCAATTTGCCTTTGTTCACAAACAACCCATATCATTCACCCCCCATGCTGGGATCTGTCTGTGTTTTAGAGACCAATATGTTTGTTGTTATTTTACACAGGTCTGATTGTGAAGGTTCTGTCTGCATGCTGTTGAGAAATTGGTTTGTATTGCTATTAGCATTTAATTTACACCAACAGCAACATTTGACCAAATGCACTTTTTCTCTTTGTTCACAGTATTTTTTTTTTTACATCAATCTTTCAAGTGAGTGTGGCAAAATAATACCACTCACTATCAGCGCCGCAAAAAGGAGGAACTCTGTTAAATTTTAAATAAATTTTCCCCCAGATTTCTCCTGCAGAAGGATGGATAAAAATAGTTTGTCTCCAAACTCAGTAATTCCTCTGATGCTGGAAACTACAGGTGAAGACATCATGTCATAAAATCAGGTTACTAAAAGAGAAAAGAAAGGCAGGGGAAGAAACAATAGTAATAATAGTTAGCATGCAAGCATTATAAATGAAGCAGCATTGCCTTTAAGAAACTTTTTGTTAACATTTGGATTGTGCTTTTAAGTGTTTCAAGTTTTAATATGCTGTTGCAACAAACTGTTAATTATTTCATTTTATTTAATTCATGATTGTGAAGTGAAGCGTTACTCAGTTGTCTTTTATAATATAGTAATGCGTTATTCGTTTCTCAGTAGAGGGGCCAGAGTAAGATGGCTTCCCACCTTTGTCTTGTGCTCAGGTTGTAAGGAAGATCTACAAAACTGTGACAGAAATAATCTTCTATAATTTCTAAAACCTCATAGTGAAAGCTTCGAACATAAATTACATATATTTGGAGAAAAGAGGGCTGAAATATGCTGAGATTTCAAATTGTGCAGCCTTTCTTAAAGCATTATAAACACTTCATTACTGATTACTCCTACAGGCATGACAATGGATGTATTGAAGAGGGAGTAGACCCACTAAGGCTTCATGTGTACGGGGCCAGGATCTTTGTGCTACGCTGCTGATTAGTACTGGTGAATAAAACTTCAGTACAGTTCTGCATGCAGGAAGTTAAGATGAGAAGTAGCAGACTATGAACTCTCTCTAACCCTTCGAAACTAACTGCAATGCATACATCGACGCCGCTGATGGGACAGAGAGAGACAGGTGGCTGTGAATAATCATCAGGTATAAAGTGACACCTTCCAATATGGCTGATTCTAGAGGATGAGAAGGACAAGGCTGGGCAGGAAGGGGCTTCTGGCAGGATAAAGCATGGGCGCTTTAAACAATCACACCTCGATATATTTGGTGACAGTGTTGGTAATTATCATCAACACAATGACAACACACAGAAACAGAAACAGAAAAAAGCTGAGTCACCTCTCTCACAAGATTCGCAGACGGTGAGAAACTTGAGCCGGGAGACTTCCTTATTTTGCTGCCACAAACTCATCAGCAGATGGTGTCGTAACAAAGGCTTTTCAGGGAAGGATTTTCACACATGATAGTTTTAGACATACACATGAAGCAGCCATTTGTCTTTTTGTCCATTGTCCAGACACAATGTTCAGTAAGGCTACTTTATAAAACCCAAAGATCTACATTGTGGAGATTTTATAGAGACTGTTTTTTTAGTACAAAGTAGGCTACATCCAATAAAAGCTGCTCAAAGTGATGTCTGGGTTGGCAGAAATCTCAGGGCCCCTGGGCCAGACAAAACCAAACCTAGCTGCATTCCACTAGATGTAAGCGAGAAAATATGTTTTCTTTCTTGTAATTAGGGTGAACTGAGCCTTTAAATAGCAGTTAAAAATGAAAACCATCACTATATGATATTTCTGGTTTACATTGGACTGATTATTCTACAGGTACAGACATGTCACTTCTGCCCTCTGTTGGTGGTATTGTGAATCACCGAGGAGAAATAAAAACCACAGAAATGTTACTTAAATGTTGTTGTGTTTTATTCACCCCCCTCTTTCAGTTGTGCAATTGACAAAAGACGCACCCTGTACACATCATCATCAGACACTGTTGGATATCATTTATCTTGCTGACTTGTCAGAAACCACATGAAATGTTGACATCATCATTGGACCAGACAACTTGTTCAGTATTGGAGGCGGGTACAGCATAACGTTTAGTGCATTTATTGCATCGTAAAGCAGACATATAAATGATAATAGTGCAATTATACCCCATCATAACTGAGGAGATATCTTGATAGTCTCAGCTAGTGTCTTGTCAATGCTAGACTTTTTATTGCATACAGAATTTAGGTAGGTGAAACGCAATAGGAAATGATAATGGTAAAAAATTGTGCTTTGACATCCAAAGAATAATTCACTTTTTGTAGAAATTTCCTGCAATAAAATTAAGCAAACAGAAGGAGCTGATTTTTTTTAATCAAAAGAAGGTACTTTGCTCTCTGTGTTTCATCAAGTAGAAGTTATGTATCTCAAACCTGGTCCTTCAGAAATGAATGGGGGTGTCAGTGGAAGCAAACTTTATGCTGGTGCTAAATAACTGCAGTGCACCATTCTAAAAAGAGAGGAAAATACATACAAGCACATGCTTTCTGAGGCGCTGAATATAGAATTGTGTACTGTGACTAAAACCCTTCTACTTTCTGTCAGCATTAGCTGTTTCTGTGCAATTTGATAAGAAGATCTGCATATTGAATATACAGTATGTACAATTAGGCCTTGATAATGTATTCACGTGACTGGTTATGTAGGTCATGTTGAGTTGCTCTGAAGAGTGAATGGCTCATGTGAGGATGGTCCCAAAAAGCCCTTCTGATGAAACAGGAATACAATATGTCATGCACATACATAAATACATAGATTATTTACACATGTGGTATGTTTGCTGTACTCTATAGTTGTATAAGGTAAAAGCAGATGCATTAATGTGGGAATTACAGTGCTTATTGAGATTCATGTTTTTTGAGTACTGTAAAACATGAAATGGAGGCAAATAGATGATTAAATCAAGACAAAAGAGAGAACTGGTGGCTATGCAAAGTTTGGATTAAGCTTTTGGTATTTGCAGCAAAGACATTTAACTAGCCTTATGACTGGAAGTCGTCCATGTTCTTAATTTATGTGGATACATATTTAATTTATGTCTTGCAGTTTGTTTGCAATGGTCAGAGAAATAAGTAACGGTGGATATGAGAATAACATAAATATGCCACCAGAGGTCGCCCTACATATGTTTATAAACCTGCAGCATACATGCGGGGTTTAGCTGTTTATGCCAAAAGATAATTAAATAATTTACTGGGCTTATTAGGATGTGACCCTTCACAATCTGTCAATGTGCTCAGAGACCTGAATGTCCCTTCGGGGGTGATAAAGAAGTCTCAGTTTTGTAGCGCGGTGGTGTAGTGGAGGGTGGGTGCAAGTGTACAGGGCATTGCTACTTCTTTTCCACTGAGCAACTAAATTTTGAAGCCCCATTGATATCTAAACTCACCCTACCATCAAAAGAGAAACTGGGACTGTATAGTCCACCCACATCACCAGTTATCATTCCCCCACTGAGTAGCAGTGAAGTGTGGAATTTAAATGATCCCACTGACATAGTAAAAAAAAAATGCAGAGATTTTCTTGACTCTGTAGTTTGTGGTGATTTGTTTATTTTAGTTTAGTGCTAGTATTACTAAGAATTACATTCAGCACACACGCTGAGGTAACCTTTAATTGTATTATTAATCTATACACTTATCTCAAGCTTTCACTTTAAAGTCATCATAAGCCAAACAACATGTATTAGATATCAGTCGATCGCTTGATACCTGGTTATGCTACAAATTATACTTCTGGGTGGACCGAATATTGTTTCAGAAAGAAGATGTTTTTATTTCTTCGAGATTAAAAATGCATAGGCTACTGCAACAAGTGACATACATATAATTAGTTGAAATGATTAAATTGATGCACAGCTTTTCAAATTGCATTTTCATTTGTTATGGGATTTGCCACCAACCATCTGCACACAAACCACAGTAATTGTAAATAATCCTTCCTAAGCCAACAGACCAGCATTTATATATTCATAGCTGTGACAAAAGATGCATATAGATTGTAAGTCTGTGCTTGCCATGCATGGGTTTTGCATCACTGTTGCATACACATATGCGATCAGCTACACTGAGGGCCAAGATAGGGATTATAGATGGTAGTGATGATCCCTAACACAAACTGTAAAAAAAAATGAAATAAAAGGAAAGGATACTTTAAAAAGGCTACTGGATAAACAAGAAGTCAAGGCAAGGAACAACAGTGCCTTTGAGGAAACATTTGGTTAAAATGGAATGACAGCTCACAGAGAGCTGTAGGGATGGAAGACACAGAATTGGTTTTCTGTCACTCTCTGCACTCTTTGGCCAGAGGGGGAAGTCAGGTTAATCAGAGAGAGATCCCTGGAAACCCTACAACAGGAAGCTATTCGTGTTTGTATTTTGTGTTACACTGTATGCTAAAATACTCTGATTTCACAGGTATGTAATTTGTCTACAGTGAGAGCTGAATAAGCCTATCTGTGTCTGGGACAGCCATTTCTGGGTGTCTGATCACATATGGGCTGGCTCAGCTTTGCCAGGTAGGGGTTGTGACTTTCAGTGTGAAAGAAGGGAGTTGGGAACATGGTCAGGGTGGGAGGAGGGAGGGTGAGGGACGGCGGCGTGCAGTGACTGCCCTGCTGTAGAAAGCGGCCCTGAGCCTACTGGTTTTTGTTACCAGTAGGCGTGCAGCTGTAGAAAGCGGCCCTGAGTTGTCGCGTGGCGGTGGGAGCAGGGAGCTTTAGCCGAGGGGGCAGCAGTGAGGTGGAGGCTCCTCTGTCTGTTGTGGCGCTGGTCAAATCTTCCTCCTCCTCTAGCTCCTCTCCCTGGTTATGTTTCTCCTCTTCCTGCAGCTCACCAGCCTCCTGCTCTTTCTCTCTCAAGGGGACTCTGCTCTTGTTCTCTTGTGGCCAGAGAAGGTGGTGGCTGGCTTTGGAGAGATGAGGGCTGCTGCTGCCCCCTGGTAGCACCCTGGTCCCTGTGCTCTATGACCTCCTAGTCTGACCCCAGCTGACAGCACAGGCTGCTCCTGCAGGGATGCAGGGGCAAACATTTTTGAGAGAAGAAAGTGTGAGCACCAGAAACCAGTAGCAAAAGAAAGACTAAAGTTTACCAAAGTAAGAAAGAGAAGCCCATTAATTCTCACCTATGTCTGTTGTAGTAATCATTCTATCAACTCTTGAGTCTCAGAAAACTAGTGAATGGACACAGGAGACAGAAAAATTGTAATTAATAATGCAGCCAAAGTGTTAATAAATCAAGCATCAGTGATATGTTTGTCTTACCTGTTGGCTGGAGTTAGCTGAGGGTGGTGTGATCACACTTTGGTCCAGTAAGGGGTTAACAGGGGCAGAACAGGGGAGATGCGTGGCACGCCAGTAAATTTCCAGGTACTCCGCAAGGTGTTCACATGCATCTTCCAGCTGGTTCTCATCCAGGATGACATCAAACATCTCCTAATGAGTCAAACATAGGATCATGAGAGATGAGAAAGAAAATATAACTGTATGAATTTCAACTCTTTTCTGAGCATGATGAGAGACATACAGGTGGACACTGAGCCAGCTTGTCCCCTGCCATCATCTGGACGTTGAGGTGTTTGCTTTGTGACTTCCCTCGGGATTTGATCAGCCTCTGAAGAACCTGTGAGATGAGATAAAGAGAGACAAGCAGTTCAAAAATAAAAAACCCAAGTAATAAAGGTTATCATAGACATGGTTCTAATTTTATTTCCATTTTTCCTTTATATTTACTCATATAAAGTGAGCGCATCATGGCAAATCTGAAAATAGCGTTTCCTCTTTCAACATACTTTTAATCTGGAGATTAAAAGCCCATTTTAGCCTGTGTAGTCAAAGTGCAAAACTCCATCATCATGAGTCATATCATTTTTTAAACCTTCCTGCCGTAAATGTAAGCAACATATTCTGCAATTCATTGTAATTAGGACAACTAAAGGTTATTATTTTCATTCTTGATCACATTATTAAATTTGTAAAATGTCAAAATGAATGAAAAATGATCAGTCAAATGTATCATAGTTTTGTCTGATCAAGAGTCCAATACCCAGAAACATTCAGTTTGCAATAATATAAAAGTGAGCAAATCCTGCACTAGAGAAGCTGGAATAATTTGGTTTGAATTTTTTTTAACTTGAATAAACAATCAAAATGATTAATCAATTAGCTCCTGATTCATTTGTCAACTAATGGATTATTCCACTGCTTCTGCTCAACAAATATGTTGGCAAAGCCTTGAATGAATTTCTTTGTGAGGTTTATGTGGGTTGTGCTCTACTTTAGGTGAGGAGACTTTGACATAGACGACAATGGGAGCCAGAGAAGTTTTGAGGAGCTGTGCCGGGTGATTGATGGTGTCTGCATCCAGGATGACCAGCTGAAGAGACTTGGCCAGCTCAAAGATCCTCTCTATCTCACTCTGGACCTCAGCTGTCAACAAACCATAGAAGGACAGGCAATTGACACGTTTCACGAGCAACGTCTCTTACCTTGCTTTAGTACAAATTTAACATCAAAGAAAGAGTGGCATCTATTTTTAGCAGGTATTCAACTTTATTTAGCACAAAAGATTAAAGACAACTTTCTTTTCACTCACCCAGACTGGAGCGCGTGTTGGATCTCTCCATTATGGCCTTCTTGTTCAGCACAGAGCGCTTCGCCAGTGACAGATCAGCAGTCACCCGTGTAATAGAGATCCTACAGAAGAAGCGTCTTATCAAATCACATCCAACAACTGTTCCATTTCAAAAGATGAGATGAACTTCTACTCGTTTGGAGCTAAAAATAAATCATCATCGTCATGTGTCCTATCGACCATGAAAGGTGATAGGCAGATTCCCACGAAACAGCTCTGGAGCTCGGTCACAACGTTACTGTACACTGACTGAGCCACAGCTGCAGAGAGCAACACAGACAGCCGTACCCACCTGCCGTCAAATCTGTGCTTCAGGAAGTCAAACAAGGCTTTCTGCATCATGTCGGTTACCTAAGCGACAGACGGGAGGAAGGAAGAGTGGAGAGAAGTTAGACTAGACATTATTGTTACATTTTTTCACTCACTTTTGTTGAAGTCCCCCCCGTTTAGAATTTATAACCACTATATAAAGATTTTATACACACACACACACACACACACACACACATATAAATAAGGGTATAAGGACACGTTTTAGCGTTTATTAACATATAGTATTCGTCAACAATATAATATAAATAATAATATAAAAACGTACTATATAGACCTAGGCCTATTCCTACAAACATGTAAAATGCTGCTTTGATTGTTGAGTATTATACACAACTCTTGTCTTTTACAAGAGTGTCCTGGCCAAAGTGGCAGCGTAAAATAGTCACATGAGAACACATACAAACAAGTTGGCACATTCACATTTAGCACAATATCCTTTAATTTTTTAAACAATTACATTCCTCTTGAAGGAAGATGGCGCTGTCACTAGTACAGGCTGTCAGCACAGATAGAAATGAGCACCATTAAAGTCCCCCTCCACTCAAAAATGTGTTACTTCACTCTGATGTTTCAGCTTCACCTTTCAGAATGATGCATGTGCAGAGAGGGAGAATGAGTGGCTGTAAGGTTTTAAGACTGGTAATTGAGTTTTTCTGTGGTCCAAAGCAGAGTTTATTTATATGTCTTCAAACGTGTCTGGAGGCGATCTTTAAAGGCTACATGGAGAGATAGTGTGTGTTTGCTTGCGTTTGGTTGTATGTGCACTGTGAGGGAGAAGCGAAGCAGTCTATTATTATAACAGTCCTGAAAAATGGTTGGCCTTCGGAATAGGGGATGAAGCGCACAGTGGTGTTGCTCTTCCACCGTGTAACATGGAGACGGCGGGACAGCGAGAGGGGAAGAGAGTGGGAAAGAAGAAGGCAACCTTGAGGAACAATGGTGAGCGACCGAAAAGAATATGTGGGAGAGAGAGCGAGACAAAGCGGGGAAAAAGAGAACAAGTGGGGGAGAGAGAAGGAGGAAGGCTGGCTTTCACCACTGGAGCATCCCCAAAGCACATCACCAGAGCAATGCATAAATATTTAACGCACACACACACAAAACAAACGGCTTGGCACACAGCCTGCGCAGTCACAGAAGAGAGAACAAGGCAGAGAGAAAATGTTGAAGCACGGAGACATTCTGTTCAATTACATGCCTCACATTTCACCATATTCATTGGCAGATTCATACAAAATCGACAAATTCCAAGATTGATCAAATTTAATCCCAATGTGTTTACAGACATCTCATCCCATATATGTTACAGAGCGATTAGCATAGGAGAATACCACATACAGCAGCTAATATAAGGGGGCACGTATGCAGTTCTGTATCACTCAAAATGGAGCTAAGATTCCTGTTGTGTGTGCTATAATTTCATCAGGATGTGACCGTGGTGTTTAGTATCAGTGTTAATGGAATAATAGAGGCGTGAGTGAGTCCCTCTAGATCAAACCAGGCAAGTCCATGCTCGACCAGAAAATATAGCCCAGATTAAACTGGAACAAACAAAGGCAGCCCCGAGAATAAAAGAACAGAGACTGAGCCCAATTATGATCTTTTCATTATTACTTAATTTTTTCGATGAAGCAAATCAAAGTGTAAAAAAGTCTCAGATTAAGGCTCAAGTGATACCTTAAAAATGCTCATGTGTTTGACTAACAAACACTACACATCTCTGTGAAGCAGTGCATTGAGCTAAATGCTAACATCAGCATGTAAACATTCTTACAATGGCAATTTAAACATGCTAATTTCTAGCAGGTGCAGAGCAGGTGTAGTGTTTGCCATGTTCAGCATCTCAGTTTAGCATGTTAGCATGCTAACGTTTGATAATTAGCACTAAACACAAAGGGCAGCTGAGGCTGATGGGAGTGTCATAAACCTGTTGGACAAATAAAGAATTTGTTATGATGGTATATGAAAAGTCAGGGCCCTAATCCCGACCACGTACAGGCAATTACTCCAAACACAAGGCAAGACTTGAATAAGCAGAACTAAACAATACCAACTGAAAAGCTGTTTTGATGATTATCTCACCTCATAGCCTTTCAGCGAAGGGCCCACCAGCACCACCGGCCGCATGGAAGGGACCACGTCATATGGGGGAACATGTTCAGTCTGCACACATCACAAGCACAGGATTTGGAGGTGGAAAATATACCAGATATTGAAATTAATTTATGACACACACATTCAGCTAATACACTCAAAAGAATGACAACTAGTCGATCTCTGCACTAGCAACGGTCAGAGCAATGAAAATGCCATGTAAAGGGATATACAGAGGAAGAGGCACAATGGCAAACATACCTGTTTCTGCTTCTGTTTGGCTTTCAGAATAAACAGAACGAACATTAAGCAAGAAGGCTATGAACTAATAAGAAGGCTCTGGTTATAAGTCATCACTTCGTACAAAATATTTCAGTTCTAATTTTTTTCTAAACAAAGAAAACAAGCATGCCATGCAGGACAGAGAAAAAGTACATTTACATTGCGGCTCTTCAAGAAAGTAGCCTTTCATAATTTGTGTGTACATTTTTAGTGGTCATCTCACATAATCATTAAGCTTAGTTTGATATAAAAGGCAAACTATGTTGAGAAGATATTTCCAAACACACTTTTCTTCTGAAGGGAGCATTTTAGCCCAGGGATAGCCCTGTGTGCAAATCTGGACCTGTGAGAGCATGCAGTCCCAGTTGAGGCAGAGCAGACAGACGCGGTAGCAGGACTCCTCCGGTCCCATTTACCTGCAGATGGTGGGGTGGACCTCCAGCCTCCGGATGAAGCGTTCCCTCCTTTCCTGTGGAGCAACATAATGCAAAGCTTCAGTATGTGTGAAACCCCTCAGGAGGCAATTTAGAAAGAAGGACTTCCAAAACAGAGCAACACATGAGCAAGTACTAGTTCTAATAGCTCGTGCTAGACGGGAAGCTGGTGTAATTAGGGCAACAGAGAGAGACAGAAAGAGAGAGAAACAGAAAGGAGCATAGGAGAGATAACAGAGACACGTGGATCTCTCAGAGTTGTGGTTGACCTCTGACCTTGCTGCTGCTTTCTGCTCTTGTTTTATCCTCATTGCCTCCAGTTTGACTGGGCTCGGGATGAAAGTGATGTCTGCTCCTTCCTTCACCAGACGACCAATCCACCAATCATTGTTGTATTTCTGTGTGACAGTGAAACACACTTTTTTATGGCTCCGAAGTTATGCTGCAAAATGTGTGGACATGGATCAATTCTTTTTTTGCGAGTAATGGGATAATATTAATGCTGAAGGCCCTTTTACCTCTTTTATGTGCAGAAAGTCTTTGGTTTCAAAATTAATAGCGGCTCCTTGGACTGGACAATCTTCATCAAGGGCCCCACAGTAACTCACATTGGTTTTCACTGCAAATGCTACTGGTTTAGACTGTTGAAAGACAGAGAAAGTAAAAAATATAATTGAGATATGTAGTAATGTACATTATTACAATTTTGGTTTTATAGACCTTTATGATTACAAGATTAAATTGGTCTATTAATAATCAAACTCAAAGTATTAACATGATTCAGCCGTTTACACACAGGAACAGAAGGTGAGTTTAAGGACAAGCATTGACCTTTGACCCTTGGGCTCTCACCTTGGCTCTCTCTAGCTGCAGCTGAGCCTGGCGCTCGGCTTCACGCCGAGACGCCTCCTGGTCCTCCTCCAGGGACAGGTCGGAATCAGAAGGTCGACTAGTGTAGGAATCGGCTGAACCCTGAAAGAAAGGAAGAGGGGACAGAAATAATGTTACAGCGCAGGCATGGAAGAGTTAAATCCACCACAATACTGTACCTAACATCTTGCAGCACTTGTTCAGAATTACTTGCGATATAGTAACGGTTCACTTACTGCAAACAGCCTCAACGCAGCTCAGAACAGATCACCTACATCTCCCCCTGTGTCTCCCATATCCTTCTCCTTGTTCAACCTGTCTCTGAACCCGCCTGTCCTTTCCTGAAGCCATGTGATCCAGCCTGCAAGGACCAGTGAGTTCCTGCAGCTTTCCAAAGCAGCTGTCTCAGGGGAACAGGTGCGTGAGCACTGCAACAACACCAACAACCAGCACAGTACTTGTTGTCTATGAATCCACTCAGCCAGGCACACCAGATGTTGGCATCAGCCCAGATATTTCAACCAGGAAAACAATACGAAGACAATACTAATAAAATTGCAGGTAATTCAGGAGAATGCTAAAAAATTTATCTTTTGATCATTTTCTAGACACCAGATTGGTCTGTATCAACAACGGATGTGGTTTAGACAAATCAACTTTTGTGTTTGTAGTTTGTGCTCTGAATTTGTTTGTTTATCAATAAATGCTGTGATTTATATCAGAATTTCTACAAATCACAACATTTAGTTGTCCAGTTCAAGACATTTTAACATAATTAAAATGTCTTTGGCTCGTAGTTTAACTCGCTCTCCTTATATAGGATTCCACTGCCATTCACCAAATAACAAGAATACCAAATTTCTGAACATCACATAATAAAAGCTACCTCTTTTCTATGAAACAGGAAAGGAAAATAATAAAAACTCATTAAAGAAAAAATACAGGACAGACAGATACAGAACCTGCCACCCTCTTTACTACACATGTAAACTTCCAGACTGATAAAACTCTCACAAAGCCTCCCTTCACCAGATCCTACATTTCACTCTATCAGCATCCTGCTCTTCCCTGATGGCTGCAAGTCCCAGCTGGGTACTGGGCTGGAAGACTCCTCACATACAAGACAGGAGCACCCACATAAGAGAGCCAAATATAGCTCAATAACAACGTCATCCTTCTTTTACCTTTCCCCCGCTACCTGCCTCCTCCTCCCTCTTTTTCTTCCCTCCTCCCTACCATTTCCATCCCTCCCTCGCTTTCTCCCCTGCCCCCAAAAAACTGCTTTAGCTGAATCCAGCGCAGAGTTGGTGGATACCATTTGAATATCAAAGCCTGCCAGAGGTGGAGCAGAATCTGAAGAGTCTACCAGCAGAAGAAACACAACCTACAGCACATGGAGTTCTGCAGATGTATGAAGGGCATTAATATCATGAAGTACAGACTGAACTGATTTAGTGCAATATATCTACACATTGTCTTCCCCTGAACTGATCGCACTTTTATATTCTCACAATTTTAGATTGTTATAGTTTGATGAAAAAGGACTAAAAATTACTGAAAATTACCTTGTAAATAAAAAATGACTACCAAAAAACTATAACTAAAAACACACCCTTAAAGTTACAGCACAGAACTGAAGTATCTTTCTTGTTGTCACTTCCTTTACTCAAGCATCACAACACTTAGCTTAATATGGTATGGTTAGCCACTGAGCATCAGTGATGCAAAATACTAAGATTTGCTTTGCTATCTGATACGTGGCCTTTTAGGTATTACAAAATCTGCAGATATCTCAATGGCAGATGCAGGGGAAACAGATATTAAGGATAAGGTGCGATATTTGCATTTCAGTACTATAATATTTTCAAACCATAGTATAGACATTGGCAGACCAATGTTGTAGTGTTTTGTAGGATGATTACAATAAAGTAAAGTCACATAAACACTTTGTACATACAGAATATTTTGTCACCAGTTGCAGTGTGTTGCTCCCTGTTGCCCCACGACTGACATTATATTCCAGGTGTTTAAAGACCATTTCAAAACAAAGAGCGGTAGAAAAGACTGACAAGGAGTTGTGAAATTTGTAAAATGCTGGTACTCTGCTTTTATAGCTCAAATCTCTCTCTTCCTAAAGTGTGTGATAAGTGCCTGATAATAACATATTACAGCCAATTACTGTGTAGATTTGACAAACTTCATCTTATTGGTAACTCTGACAAATCCCTTGGTGATGTGTAGTTCAAAGCCATTCCCAGTCAGAGAGACTTCAGACGGTTTTGTATTTCTCCCCAAGTGCATGAATGAAGAAATACTCATGAACTGACAAGCCAACACAACAGATACTGAAACTAAGGTGTAAAACAGATCCCCCTCATCAGCAACATCAAATATATTTTGCATATTGCATGATTTTAAAGAGAATCACTTTTTTAAAATTGCTATTAAAGGACAGATTTTGTCCCCCAAATCTGTCTTAAAACAGTATACTCACAGTTTTTGCTTGCTGTGATCATTCCTTCTGTTCACACTGGCTGTTAAGTGATGCCTTCCAAATGTGCTTCCAATTTAAGTGATGATGTGGGACAAAATCCACAGTCCTCGTCCTTTGCAAAAATATATTCCAAAGTTTATCTGGAGTTAATCAAATCAGGTGGGTGTCTTCCAAAGTTACAGTCATTTTTTGTACAGATTTTCTCTTTGTGTTTCCACAGACTTTCCTCGCTGAGCTCCCGTGGACAGATAGGGACACAAAGAGGCAATATTGTATTAAAAAGACTGTAAACTTTAAGTGAAATATTCTCACTTGGACTGGATATGTTCCCCAATCACTTCCATTTGATGCACATTATGTAGGGATCTTTCAAATTTTTGAAATTCTCACTCAAAGTAACATCAGGAAAGTGACTAAGCACACAGAACCAAACAGAAAGTTCAAATACAATATTTAAAGGTAGGAATGAAAAAAGAAATAACAGTGTAAAAATTTATGACATTCAACAGATGGGCCTCCCGGTGAGACACAAGTTCAATGCATAGCTGCAAAGTAACCTACAGAGTTGAGATAGATAGACAAATTGCATGTGTACAGAACAGTAGCTGTGTTCACTGAAGATGAGAAGAAGGGGAGGGAAGAGAGGGGAAGTGGGGAGATGCTGGCAAAGTGAGTGAACCAGAATAGACTTCTGCTGAGAAAGAGTGAGAGGGGAGGGGAGGAGAGAAAAACAGAAAGAAGAAGATGTCTCCTAGCAGACAGACAAGAGACTCATGGAGGAAGAGAGGGAGTTTGCATGCAGCATGATTAAACAAAACGAGGAGCATTAACAGCGTACCTTGTTACAGATGAGTCCTGTAGCGCTTGAGTCGGAGGCAGACATGATTCTGCTGCCAGCGCTCTCTTCTCCCCCATTGCACAGAAAAGGCAGAGCCCTCCTCCCCTCAGCCCGTGGTTACAGGGTGGGAGAGAGAGGGTGGCACGCTCAGCCTAAGTGCTTCACAGCTGACGTTGCTGCGCTGCCTCAACAGCCATTTCCTATACAAAATTGATGCACACCTGACTGCAGCACTGGTGTGTACACGCCCGCGTACTGGTAAAGTACAGTGGGTTTCTTCAGCTTTTCAGCCCTCATGAAATAAAAAGAGCATTCCTCTGGTTTCATACACCGTCGCAATCTCGTCTCGTCTCCTCTCCTCTCCTCTCCTCTCCTCTCCTCTCCTCTCCTCTCCTCTCCTCTCCTCTCCTCTGAGTCTCCCCACCACAAACCACAAATCTCATGTATCACACCCCTTCCAAGTTTTTGCATACATTTCTCATATGTCAATTCCTGCTTTAAGAGATCTTGAAAAAGTGATAAAACAGGTTGGTCTGGTGCTTAATCACCAACTGCAGAGTATAATTTTTTCACTGAGCACAGATGAGAACTTCTATAAATAAGATAGAACAAAGACTGAGCAGTTATGTAAGACATGCAAAGTGATAGTGTAATACTGTAACAATAGCCAAGCAAGAAAATGCTGAGTGGCAACTTAGTTTATAATTCCTCTGCTAATTAGTAGCTATCTTTGCTTAACAGGTGACTGTTTCAAAAGCAAAGAACACAAAGGGTGTGAAGCTTGTGGAGGACAGGGAGCCAGAACGAGAGGAGGAAACGAATGGAGAAATGAACAGAGGGAGAGGAGAGGAAAAGGGAAGGCAGGGCTTTGTCCGCCTGCCTGTCTGCCTGCCCTGCACCATCCTCCTGACAGGAAGGTGATGCATGAGCCTACAGAACAGAAATGCAGCGGTGAGTCAGCATGCAGCCATCTAGAGTCCATCAGACATCTTACAGTAATAATCCAGCAGAGGGGTCTCTATTGTAGGAGACAGCCTCGTTGTTCCAGGCACGCCAGGGCTGCATGCCTGCTCTCCAGGTTGCCCCAGGCACTGAGGACCTTTCTTTGCAACCATTATGCTGGCAGCATGCGCTCCCTCACCCTCATTCAACTTTGGCTGCTTAAGAATTAAGTGCACTCCACCAGGGCTTTTAGTAAAAAATGTCTCAGGGCTATATTTCTACTTGGCTTTTTAAAATTAAAGGGATGCAAGCAGGCAAGCTTTCAAACACACACACATGCTCTCACACACAAACACATATCATTGTAGTTTGAGCAACTACCTCCCTCAGATTCCTCTGGAACAGATAAGGAGACTATTTTCATCGTTAGTGTTGTGCATGAAGCAGCAGCCATTGACTAACAGCCTTTCACACAGTGGGAGAGGAATGCGAAAATGGAGAGGGAGCGAAACCACAGGAAACAAACAGAGCTAGAAACAGAAAGATATGAGCAAAGAGAAAGAATCCCTGAAAAGCAAATAAGATTGATGGAGAAAAACGGTGAGAAATTAAACACTAAGAAAAGTCCCAGAAAGTAAAAAATAAATGTTTATCACATAATTTGTCTGCTCTGCCAATGTTAACTGTTAAAGCTCTTTAAATCAAATTGAAGAGAGGGAGAAGGAATGATAAAGGGAAAAAGGTGAAACATTGTGATGAAAACAGAGGGACAAAAAAGAAAAAGAGGGAGGGAGGAGGACTGTCGGCACATTAGAACAATAGGACCAGAGATTAACAGCAGAATCTTTTCTTTTTGTCATTTTTTTGCTGTTCAGTCAGTCTAAATATAGCTCTCTTCTCCTCTCCTTCCACTCCTCCCATCACAGACTGGGGTTGGCAGTGGGGAGAGGATAGCGAAGGATTGTCAAAGTTCACTGAGTTTTGATGAATTCCCTCAAGAAAGAGCAAAGCAGATTTGAGACTGGCTCAGCTATATTCACTGATGCCAGATAGCCCATCTGAATGTGAACAAAGTGCCTATATGGACAACAAGAACAGACAGCCTCTGAGGCTTGTCTGTTCAGCATGTAGTAAGTCTCTGTAGCAATTTGCTTCTCCTTTCCGGCAGGTTAATATTAAATCGAGTGTTGTTCAATCCTCCTGATAATGTGATGCAGGTGTTCTTCATAATGTTTCTTTTTTTAGCACTTCTCTTCAAAGTTCACACAGGCCTCCGCAAACGAGGTAATAAGAGAAACACGATTACACAAAGAAACAAGTCTGACTATGTGGACAGAAGGAAAAGTAGAGAAAGTGATTTAAAACTTGATGTAATTTTCCAACCATTGTTGGGTCTGTGACACGCTAATTCTCATTCTCAAGACAAAACCAGTGCTGAGTTGTGGTACTGATAATAAACAATTCTATTTTTCAGTTCTTTACTTTGAGGGATATAAACATTTGTCCCCCTTCCCTTTTGTATTTAACAAAAGAAGATACAGTTCTCAAATGATAAACAGTCTGAACACATGCAGCAGAACAAAATCTAAAATAAGCAAAATATGGTTTTAAATCAGATTCAAGATTAATTAAACTATGGCTGTGGATTTGACATTCAGTGCCAATCTTTAATACCTGACTGTTTTCGATATATGTTGGCGCTGATACAGACACATTTCAGTTGGTGCTAAAAAAGTATTAAGGTTTGATACTGAGCTCTTTATTTATTTTTTTGCTGAGCACTGCAGCTCAACCACACTTTCATACTGTAAGCAACTGAGACGCTCTGCACCAACTGGGAACTCAGTGGCTTGCGAAAGGGCAGCATCAGAGAAGACAGGGGTCCAGATTCCCCCCACAAATCTGGAGATTTAAGCACAAAAACTCTGCGGTCACCTGCACAGGCCTGCACCTTTTGACTTGTAAAGAGGCACCTTACAATCTGTGTGCAGCGGGAGCTGAGGCAGCATTACCGGCAGAGGTGGATCATCCAGAGCCAGAGAGAAGGTCTCCTGACAGTGCAACCAGAGTAGGGCAGAGTGGATCAATAGGAGAGCCACCCAGATTGATACTCCATCCTGTCCCGAGCGGCTCCACCCTCCTCCTGCTCTAATGTTACCTCAGGATACTTTCTCTCTGCCTGTAATGAGCCCTTGACAGCCTATAAATAAGCACTTCGAAGTCATTTCCACTACACCACTGCTTTCTGACAAAAGGCACAGAGTTACATCCATTCGAGTCGAGGTTTGAGAAAAGAGGACATCTTGTGTTAGTCAACTGCAAAGAGTGCTACAAAGTGCTACAGATGCAATGACGACAATGTGATGACGTGAATTATCACAGATTGGTCGACAGTGAAGTTGGCATACAGTAGAGGAAGAGGAGCATGATGCAGCGTGCTTGGCCAGGAATCTCTATCTTTCATCCACGCTGCCGACTCGGCCTTGCCGGCTTTGCTGTGCATACTTAGGCTTTCATCTCCCCAAGGGATCGCTCAACCTGACTTCACCAAACTGCTTCAAAGTGTAGAGAAGCTGGAGCTAACCCACATAAAGCTGTGTACCTACAGTGCAGCACAGAATGGCACATCCCTCTGCAGCATCCTTCATTAAATCAGATATGTTTTTTCGAAGCTGACCTGATTTAGGCTCTAGGTTTTGAGTTAGGCCTAATTGGTGTTTCTTGACTAGTGGGCTGAGCTAACAGAGAGAATGTCAGACTTATCAATATGTAATGGCGCCCTACATATTCACACATTCCAGCTTTGCATCTAAAAACGGTGTGTTTTCTTTCAAATTTGAGTCTTAAACATTTGTAATGACTACATAGGGATGGTTTATCACAATAAAAGTAATTTGTGCGTTTGCAGATGTTACAGCCAAGAAAGCCATTTGGAGATGTTTAAAATAGTAGAAACAGAGCGATGTCCTAGATAAGACCAGCCAAACATAAAGATGTCACATGAAAAAATTAAATAGTGTACTTCTTTACATTCTGACTTTGTAATAATTTAAAAAAGGTAGGCTTTCTAAACAGGAACTCAGAGAAGCTAAACTGGAATCTTTGGCCCTCTCAACATTCTTGGTTCATCAAATTTAATCAAGGCATTGCACAGTGATGCGCCAACACGGACACACACACATATGCATGCACATACACACACGCACACAAACACACAAAGCACTTCGCTCCTCACGGGACGGGCTTTTAGTGCTCTGTCTCATGCAGTATTTAATTGACCCCACACAGGAAGCCTAGCGGTTCCAAATGCACTCCTTCCCCCCACCAATAGAGACAGCATGAATGCCTGCAAGTGTGCCCACAGCTTCCCACCACTGCCCCTCTGTCACACAACTGCACTAAATGCCATTTTCTGCTTTAGTGCAACTCAGAATTTTCCACAGAAATGTCAGCACTGAGGGTGAGGAGTTTGGACATACATTCAGATTTGTTCAGAAAGCTCCAATGTAGATGGAAATTCAGCCATGCCCCACTTTGACTGCCGCATACACCAACTCAATTTCTCAAACTTTCACTCAAAATGTCAAGACCCGAGTTGAAAGGTTTTCCTGTTTCCACAAAGTAAACCTATGTCTTTTATCGCCATCTAATCAGGGATCATTCAGGAAGCATGTACAGATCTGTCATTTAAGGTTTAGAATGGCTATCAGTGCAATTTGCAGCAGAGATTAGATGCAGGAGAGATAGCAGCGTACTTACTCAGTTGGAGGTAGGAGAGCACACTCCCCGTCTCTCTTGCTCGCTCTCTCTGCTAGTCAGTCATGGTGTGCTCTCTCTCTTGGGTAACACTGAAGTGTACTGTAGCATGCTTGTAAGCAGTCTATCCCTCTCTCTTTCTCTACAACCCCCTCCTCTTTTATTCTCCACCACTCTCAGTACACAACCCTTTGCTACGTCAGTGAGGCTCTCTCTGCTCTGCATACCACACTTCCCACCCTCTCTGCTGCTCTTCTCTCTTCCCTTCATCTCTATACCTCGCCTGTCCAATGGGACGCAACGCCATACATAGTTCATTCAGGACTCATCACGACAGAGCATCACTGTGGCAAACAAGATCACTGTGTTGTCATGTTGGATGGGATTGTATCTTACAGCAACAAGCAGTCTCATAAAATCTCTTCTCGCTGCTATCGCAATTTAAAATCAATCCCCACTTTCAGATCCAGAAACTCACATCGGAAGTAATGAAATGTTTTATGAACCATCACATTCTCACTTTAGACACGGCTTGGGATTCTTGCATGCATTTCATTGACAAAAGTATGTGGAAGTCTGAATATTGCGCCCGTGTGTGATTGCTGAACTTTTGATTCCAAAATGACAGGCATTAATATGCTGCCTCCACTCATCTGGGCTTTCCACAAGATTTTGTAATCTTTCTGCAGGGTTTTGCTCCCATTCAGACACGTGAGCGTCATTCAAGCCATGAAAGTCTGGCTCACAATTGGCATTCCAGTTTATCCCAAACCTGTTTGATGGTGATGAGGTCAGGCCTCTGTGCAGGCCGGCACATGATCCCACGCCAACTTCAAAGGACTATTTCTTTATGCGTATCGCTTTGTGCACTGAGTCAGTCTCGTGTTAAAACTGTTCAGCTGGAAGTTGTAGCTTTAAGATTTCCCAAAATTGGGAGTATTGTTTCAAGACCATGAAAAAAGGCCCCAGACCTGAAGTACACACAAGTAAGTGGTGAGGGTTTTACACAACCATTCTGTGTAACTCACAAAGACAAGGACAAAATCTCAAAGGGTAAACACGTCCATTTCTACAGTCCTATCACATTGTTATTTCAGCCACTATGGATTTCAACATGTCAAAATCCAAAAGTTTAGAGACAAGAGAAAGTCTTGCCGTGGTGAGGGGATATGGAAGCATTGTAAGTTTTCTCTGTTCGACATGTGGAGGCGTCCCCAGTGTAGCCCTCTGTTCACTGAGTGTGTTCTGTAGATGTCATGACTGGCTGTACTCTGACACCTCCTCAGGTGCTGAGCGCATATGTTATGGATATGAACAGATGTGTATGTGGGAGGTTTTTCTTTAAAACCTGTACAAACAAACCAAACAAACCAATCTTTTTTTGTTAAATTTGTGTGTGAATGAAGATACAGCGTAAGAGATCGACGACATGCATCTAAAGATCTAAAGATCTAAAGACCAGACTATAAAACCATGACTATGGGCAATGTGAAAATCTCCAGCAAAGCTGAGATTCATAATTCATAGGATAGGTTGCAGGAAACAGTGAGGCGGAGGAGAGAAGAAAAAAGAGGAGGAGAGAGAGAGATGGAGGAGGCAACCATTCGAATTCTGCATGAGCAGTAGATGTGAATAAAACATGAATGAGTGAAGGTTTGAAAGTTAAACTCCATGGTGCTTTGCGCTGAGCGGGAGACCGGCAGAAAAAGGAGAGCAGCTTTAGGAGCTGCACCCAAGCATTGAGTGCAGATGTCTGTTAGTCTGTCCCATTTGAAGCCCCTCTGTGGGCATAGGTGCTGCTGGTGCATTATGGATGAGGGACTATTTTAAGTTTGCTGTGTTTTGATTTTTGAGTGGAAGGAGATGACACCTGGCTGCTGCCAAATCCTTCCATGGGGTTTGTACAGTACTTGATGAGTTCAGACATGCAGGTACAGCGTTGCGTTCCAAGGCAGACCTGATCCCTGTTTGAAGTGTGCACGTCAAGAGCAGGGAGGAGGTAAACAGACTGGTGGGATGCTAGGGAAGTGAGTGAGGGTGTCACTAAGCAGCTCTTCACAAAGACAGTACTGATAAAGCACACAAACATACAGTATATCACATGATGTCTAGTGAGGTTCTTAGTTATGTCGCTGAGTGGTTCATTTAACCACTGTGCAGAAAGATTATTCAAGCTACCAATGTAAATATTACCAGTAATGCTTTTCAAAAAAAATATTAGGCTGCAGTCAAAAATAATTAATGTTTTCTTCTTGTTACTGCAGTATGACACATTAAGAAGTGATGTAATAAAAAGAGTGATTGATGAGTGTTGTCATGTCCATGCTGCAAGCTTCAAATGGGTTTTTCAATGTCTTTGCTCATACACAACACTTCACATAAGGGACAATGTGAAAGTGCAATTTATTAACTATAAACAACACAGAATTACTCTCTAAACTGTTATAATGGATATAATTGAAATTGTTTTCTGTTTAATTCTGCATGCAGACATTTGATTAATTTAATAAAGATTTTTGCTGCTAAATTTACTTTTCAAAGAACTCTGTCACTCTTCTCTTTTCTGAGACTCTCAGACAAGCAAAGACAAAATGAATGGAAAAGACATCATCCTAAAGCATACCTCACTTAATGTGATGTCCCGCAAATATAATGGCACACGTTGCCAAAATCATTTTCATCTTACATTTCATGGGAAGATATTGAATTTCAAGTGCAACACCTGCTTCAACGAGATGCTCAAGAGACTTTTAGCACTCCAGCACTCAGGATGAATCCAGTGCAGAGACTGACTAGACCCCCTGCAGTTTGCCAACCACACACTGACGCAAATGATGCAATCATTTAGCTCCTCCAGGGGACCTTTTGCTGGCTGGAAAAGGCTGGCAGCACGGTCAAAATCATGTGTTTGACTTTTCAAGCACCTTTAACGCAGTCCAGACCCTTTGGGTGGGAAACATGCTCACAGAGATGCAGATGGACGCCCCAGAGGTGTCCTGGACCATGGATTATCTCACCAGTGGGCCACAGTTTGTCAGCCTTTAGCAATTTGTGTTCATTATGGAAAATGCAACACCAATTTCTGTTTCTATATACCTAATTTCTCTAAATCAAACCTGCAGGAAGTGTCACGGTAACGTTTATTTATGAAACTGTCATGGTAAGGCTTAAGCTAGCAAATGAGCAAAAACATTAACCCTTAAAAAACTTTAAATACAAGTTTTGGGACTTTTTGGTGAATTGTTGCAGAGTGATTTCATCATACTTTTCTTCATAATAATAGATTTCTCTGTTCTCTGTTCACCAGATAATAGGCTAGTGGATTACATTACATACAGAGAATTACTACATTTGTAAATATATTGAGATTACAAGTCTGACTCATATAGATGGATACTATTACACCATGGTACATGCATATTGCAATATCATTTACAGCTATTGCATCATCAATTGCTGCACAGAACATTGTTACAGAGGGAACTTTCACTCCCCCCTTTAATATTTTATATTTCTTAATTTCATGCAAGGAAAGCAGAATATAGTAAGTGTAAGTTAGTTTCACATGTCCTGACATTGCAGTAGGCTAAGTTAAGAAGGAGATAGTTATGGTGTTGACTGTCGATTGACAGAGTCATATTGAGTGGTGGATTTATGAATGTTTTTCTCATTCATAAGAGTAGAAACAGTTTCATCAAATCCTGACTGCATGGATGAGCTGTATGATATGTGAAAAAAAACCAAAACATTATTATAGCATAAATGCAATTACTGTAGCTTATCCTGGAGCAAAAATGTAATTATGTCCCTCATAACCCAATAAATGATAAGGTTAACAGACCGACGGGGCTGGATGAGCGTTTTCATCTGTTGCACCAGCTGATCAGTTCTTTTATTTGGCTCCAAATGTTTATCATGAACCTTTAAAAAAGCCCACTGCAGCCCAGCCCCACTGTCCCTAATTTCTGCTGGCAGACTGACAGTACCAATACATGCCGAGACTCCTATACTCCGAAGTGAGAGAGTCCCATTGAGGTCAGCCTGTCTAATTTAATTATCGGCATTCCAACAAGGAACTGCTTCTACCTTTACTGCTTGTTTATGTCTGGAGGTACAGTAATGAGGGGCTACGCGACGCATCCAGCCTGGTTTCAACCCCCTTCATACAGCACAGTAGCAGTCAAAATCTCATTCAGTCGCCAATTACCTCGACCACCCCCGAAGAGATCCAAAAAGAAGAGGGAAAAACTAACAATAACCCACCTCGTTAAGCAGAAAGACGCTTGAATTGGTCAGGGACATCCGCAGTTAACGGGATCTCAGCCACCTCAGCCCAACTTGGGGTAAAAAAAAAAGCCACAGTTTTCACAGTAGGCATCAACTAAAAGACAGAGCCCAGCGCCTCGTCCAAACATTTATACAACACGAGAGGAAACGGCTCGGCTGCTGCTCAACGCTTCATTTGAAGTGAAGCTCCGGCAGCATCTGCGCTATAAAATCTGTAGTTTGGGTTCACGGCATGATCAATGACTGTACACAAAGCCAAACGCACGGACACGGGTGGATAGATTACAGCTTTCTTAATAAATTATGCAAGACCTGCACTTTTTACACCACCCAGTCTCCTCTTCTATTTTTGAATTTAAATATATGATGATCACCTGTGAGTTTGACTTCAGCCCTTTTGAATGTGTGCCCAAACTCGTTCACTGACATATCTGTTTTATTAAAATTTAACTGTCTGGGTTTATATCTACAGAATTTATCTGTTTTCTCTTATCACAGCGCAACTCAATATGTTCTCGACAAATGCAGCTATTTAAAAATGTTTACTAAGCAAATACCACCCCCCCCCCCCCAGAAAACGCTGTTTTCAACGGAATGATACGTCTTGTATTTGGTCGCTAAATATGTCCAGGCAGGCAAAAGGATATATGGCATGCGGG